TAAGGACCATCTGATTTCTTATGCACTGCAATATTATATTTATGAAAAATTGTCAGGCAATCACCTATATAGTTTGTACAATGGATCTTTACTTACACACACACAGCCCCATAGGCATAAATAATATCAAATTCAAATCTATTAAATTACATGCAGTAATATATTTTTGAAAATAATGTACTATTTGTTACTCAGCATTTATATTTCATAAGTTTTGAAAACAGAAATGAAAACAGAGTTAATACTACCCCACCCCTAAGCAGTATACAAATGTATGAAATAATGTCGGCTATGTTGGTCTCCACACTTACGGAAAAGATAAGGAGCGCTTAATGTGTGAAGAGCATTCACATGCTTTGAAATATACCATTCATGTACACCTGACCAATAGTAGTGATATTGGGAACATATTTACCATTTACTTTCCATACTCCGAATGTTAAGAGAAATATTGCAGTCAGTCTACTGTGGAGCACACATTGAACTCTATTATCGATTCTCCACCCCAAAGCATGGATTAAGCAAGGCAAAATATAATATTGTGTAGTCAAAGTTTGTATATTATTTTAGACTTTTTCTGGAGGTTTTACTGACAAAGGGCATAAACCTGGGATTGTAATCTGTGGATGGTTATCTGGACAACTAATAAATCTAACCTTTCCAGGCAGATGTATAAAGTTAAAGGGACTAATTGATCATGTTGGCACAAAGGTGTTGTTCATTCTGCAAAGGCCAAGTTAATTCACATTGATGTGATTCAAATTAACCTTAATCAGCTACCAGGCTGACTCTGATTTCATTACTGGATGTGCTGCAGTTAGTCATCTCCTTCCTTTAAATGCCCCTCAGACTTATTTCAGTGTTGCTTTTTTAAATAATAAATACCCATTTACACATCAGCTCTTATTAGTGTAATTGGCTTTAAGATTGACTTTTTTGGTGTAGTCACTTTTGGGTTCTGTTTATCCTGAAAAGGTCACATAATACAGATTGATGTGATATAAATTAACCTCAAACAGTTACTTCCCTCCATTTAGAATGATAGGCTGTCATTGTGGGGGGAAAGACCAAGAGTTTTTTGTTTTTGTTTTTTTGGTGGGGACTCTTTCCCCCCCCAGCAACAGTTTTACGTCAAAAAGACTATGCATTCCTAACCAATGCTAAAACATCATCAGATTCCCTTGGATAAGCTCTATGTAGAAAATTCGTAAATAGGCTTGGTTCCTGATCATTCGAGAATCAACAAGGTCCAATGGGCAAATGTTGGGAGGAGTCCTTACTTCGGATTGTATAGCTAAGTCTTGTGGTTTAAATGGAAACTCATAGTCTGTGACTTGTTTCCCAATCTATATGGAAGTCCTTGTCAGAGGTGGGTCAGATGCAGGTCAGCACATAAGACACAAAGTTTAGAGCTTAGCAATGTGGTTAATTCTTTATTCAAGAAAACAGCATACTGACCATCCCTGCTCTTTGTTTCCTCTATGTCTTCTTTTCTGCCAGAAATTTCCCTAAGCAGCCTCTAACTAAGTTGGGACACCTGTAATTCGTGTTCCACCCTACACATCTCCCTGTGCACCCTTGGAGTCAAGAGGGGAGGGAAACTTGTTGCAGTAGGAGAGGCAGACTCCTGAGATTTCCCTTGAGCCTCTTACCACCACCCTCTGTTTCAACCTCTGAGCTGCTCCCTGTCACAGGCTCTCCTTGCTCAATAAGCCTGTTGCTTCTTCAGCATCCAATCATTCCCTTCCCCATCCTCCCTCTACTGCACCTCATTGTCCCACCAACAATCCCAGGGCTCCTAGCCTTTCTCCTCTGGCGGTTTCCCAGCTCATACATCCCACCACTCCTCATCATCTACCCACTCTCTGACAGCCCTTGCCTTTATTGAACCCATTTTTCTTAGGTTATGAATGCTGGTCATATCCTCAATTAAACTACCTGAAGCCACCAGCTTCTAAAGGTGGCAGACATACCTCAACTGAAGGGAAAAGCTGATAGAGGGGTGTGTGGGTGTGGGAGGGAGAGAAGGAGGGAGGGAGAGAGGGAGAGAGGGAGGGAGTTGCTTGGCACTGCTGAATTGGAGAGGTGTAAACTATGAGCACTGAAATAGGAAAATATGACTTGACACACAGAAAAACCACAATGGGCATATGATTTATTGATTACAATGAATATTTAATTTTGTATTTAGTCGAGAGTCTGTCATATGATGTGGTATAATCAATAATTCATTTGCCAGTTGCAGTTATTTTACATGTCAACTCATGTTTTTGCATGATAAATACCGGTACTCATAACTGGAGCCTGACTGCTTGTGTATCCCTTTATCCAAAAGGCCCACATCTAATTCACTATTCACATATAGGTCAGCCAAAAACTCCATGTCTGAAGAAAAAGTAGAAAAGCTTATCATTAGTCTACAGTTTAAGACATTCATACAGAAAACAATAAATAGAAAAATAAGTGTTGATATTATATTTCATAGCTATTATGATGTATGCCCTCCCTCCTCCTCCCCATCAATATCTCTTGGAACAGGCTTCCTCAACCTCGGCCCTCCAGATGTTTTCAGACTACAATTCCCATCATCCCTGACCACTGGTCCTGCTAGCTAGGGGTCACAGGGGTTGTAGGTCAAAAACATCTGGAGGGCCAAGGTTGAAGAAGCCTGTCTTAGAATTCGTAGTTTTCCCAAAATGGAGATGTATGTTGGCTGATTTCAATGAGGGCACCAGAGTACTGAGGAGGTGAGGCAAAAAGCACAGGAGTGACCCCCAAGAGAAGACTTTTGGGCGGGTAGTGAATAACAGAATATCAATTCTGTCACTCAAATGTGTAAAAAAACAGGAGGAGGGGGCTGCTGGTGGGACTGTCATATAAAGCGAGTTGGCCAAAGTGTTGGCCAAGGTGGTACATGCAACCAGAAGGCATATCTGTGCCCCCTTGACCCTGGCAGCACCTCTGGCTGTGCTCAGTGAGGTACTTAGTAATAGTTTATCTTGACATAGCAACATTGACCCAGTCTTGCTCTCCAATACTATATTATGAATCTGCTCATAGCAGATGAGCACTGAAATAATGCCATTGTTCCTCATCTCATCACAACACTTGGCTGTTTCATTGTTTCTTAATGCACCTTTCTTAAATTAACTCACAATGGAATCAACACCAGCAGAAGTTTAATTCTTAAATGAAAAAAAAAAAAAAGTGTTATGTTAACTGCTGCTGAACTAAAAATGTCCTTTCAGTGTAAGCCATAGTAAGAATTGTCAACTTTAAATATGTGACATTTTAAAACTTCAGGGCTGAAAACTGGCTCCTGGGCCTTATTGGAGTCTTACTACAATGTGGATGGTAACAGTTTATAAAAGATATTTTATTAATATAATATGGAAACCTGCACATTAATTCTGAATTTCTGGCATACTTGCTCTAATCAACTGAACTTTATAGTCAGCTGGGGCACATAGTTAGCCATAAATATCACAGTGCCTTACGTGCAGGTTTAAAAGTGAACAAATCTGTGAATTCTCCACAGATGAAGTAATTTCCCAACCAACACCCCTTTTAAAATAAAACAGACTTCTTAATAACTCAAAGTCAGCTCCCCAGCAGAAGGATCAAGTCAGGAGACTATACTGTAAATTCTCCTTTGTCATAATGCCATAAAGATAGCAATGTAAGACCAACCCTTCTGTTTCGGAGCAAAGCAGGCCAGCATCATAGCAACTGGACTGGGGGTGGGGAAAACCTAACTTCAGAATGAATCGGTGAAGACATTTCAGAAGAGATTGCTATACAGACGGTAATGATTCCCATAAAGACACTTATGTTAACTTCTCACTCAAGATTGTTCTTTAAATAGTCCCGAGATATTTCTTAAGCAGTTAAGTCCTCTCAAACACTGCCTGAGCACAGCTAAATTGTAAAAAAAGGAAAAAGAAGAAGTTATCATTGGCTTCCTATTCCAAAACCATTTCTCTGCTTGTAAGGTGTCTGTGGTTCCCACAGGATGATACCCCAGCAGGATTTGTCCCTGGGGAATGCATAAGTCTCACAAGAGACTAGGGCCCTGCAGGACTTGACATCTTTCCGCAGGGCCTGCAAGACAGAGCTGTTTGGCCTGGCCTTTGGTTTGGACTCAGTCTGACCCTTATGTTTCCCTCCCCTTATGGTCTTGATTTATCGACTATTTTAAAATGATGCTGCATTTTAACCTGTATTTTAAATTGGTTCTCTCTCTCTCTCTCTCTCTCTCTCTCTCTCCCCCCCTCTCCCTTATGATGTTAATACTGTGATTTTTTGGCCGGGGAGGGCGGGGTATAAATTTATTATTATTATTATTATTATTATTATTATTATACTGAGGCATCCACTTGGGAGATTTCTGTCCTAAAGCAATCAAAACAGAATACAGCACTGTACTCTTCTACATTGGAAAAATCACAACAGACCTTCCAAATCGCCTTTGAGTTTTTTCTTGTCAGTTATTTCCACCATTTATATATTTGGACAGAATGCTATCCCATCATTATGGTTCAGAGTATGCCAACTTTCTCCATTCTGTTCATCTTTCCTCTTCCTCTACTATAGAGGATGTAACTGGCTGCTGACAGGTGATAGGAGCTTGGTTCCTCCACAGAGGTGGTGGTACCCTTTATCCCTTCTCTTCACTTCTGCTACAGTCTAATGCTAGGACTAAAAGAATTCATTGTATGGGGGAAGAGGTGAAGTTAGACACATGGAAAGAGGTGTGAGTGAAATGGAGAATGTAAGTTTAATGTGGCAGAATTCAATGCATGGCTCCATTCCCGCAGATGCAGTTGGAACTGGGCTCAAGTCAGCTGCTTATTAACACTGCATTTCATTCTATATAGATGCCCATTTAATGCATCTGGTGAAAATGGTGATATTTTGGACAGTACTATGCTTTGGTTAGCTGCAGACAATGTTTGCTATATGTTGTGTACTGAAACATTTTATTTGTTTTTGTTTTTGTTAGATCACCACTGAAGACATGTTTATTTCACTTCCTTGCGGGTAAATCAATATATTGAATAATTCATAGAGTTTTCTCTAATATTTTATTTTACCCGATATGGACTATTAACATTTTAATGGTCGGTATTAGCTAAGTTTATGTTTGACTACTTATCATTGTCTTATTTGACTTTACAGTGCTATAGTAACTCACTTAACTTGTTTCTTTTTTTATACCCTTCATTACTTCTGAGTTTAGTTTATTAATAGAGCACTTAACAAATCCAATAGGAAAGGTGGTTTAGTATAAAGCTGCAGTCCTGAAACAGCCTGCTTCAAAAATATCAGTGAAAGCTAATCAGGAGAAATCATCTCCCTTTTCTTTTATATACATACTATAATTAAACAAGTTCTCCTTTCCTTCAAAGTCTATAAATGTTCTCTAAGATGCTAGGATATAAAGGTAGAATGAGCCCAGGGAAACACCAGATTAAGCTGGGAGATCTACTGGAAACAGCTTACTGATAAGTTACTTCAGGATTTAACTCTTCACCATGTATTTGTTCCAGGTGTGATTCAGGAAGTATGGAAGTATGAAAGCGGGGGATCTATGGATGCCCTGCCAACAACTGGACATGTTAGCAACAAACTATGACAGAATGGGGTACTTGGCAATCCAAGAACAACTGTCCATTTAAAATGGTCTAGGAGTAAACCAAGTTACAAAAAGTGATCCACACAGTCATCTAATTACATGCTAATCTGTTTGCACGTGCATGTATCATCTATAAATAAATTTATGCCACACGTTCTGGTATACATACAACCAGCACCTGTTTACATATTAAATTTTTCCATTTAAATCAGTGATTCTGTTCTTGCTCCTTGATGGAACAAACTCATTCAGTGGCTGAGTTCACACACATGTATCTTCATAATTTGTTGACTGCAACTTCACATATATGAAATAGCCAGAACAGAGATGTCAACTACTACCCGACGAATTTTCACATCACCTTTCAGCAGAAGCAAATTTGCAAGTGGTGTATTATCACATGATATACCTCACACATAACACTGATGGCCATCTGGCCCTATTTCTGTACAGCTGCTCCACAACATATGCAATAAGTTAAAGTTTCCATTTTAAAGTGTACCTCTTCTTTTATCAGCATCGAATTTCTTGCTTATCGGCCACCAATCCTCCTGTTCAATTACCATGCCTCTGTGGCCTTCCATCTAAGGTCTTAGTGAGTCTAAAGAATGCAATTGGGAAATTGTGCAACACTAGAACAAAATATTCTTCCATTTCGGTGTGGTGAGCTCTGTGCAAACCAAAGCATTGAAATCATTAAAAAGAGGTGAGGAGATAAGCATTTCTTTTGCAGCCCTACATTGTTTATTCATTAGATCAGATTATGATGAACTAATCCTAGGCAAAGGGAAAGGGAAAGAAAGTTGTCTGTGCAGGATAAAAGATACATATGTATTGTGGTAGCAGTGTATCCTGTGGAAGCCCACATGCTTGCTGCTTAATGTTGAATACTAGAAGACAGGATACAGCTTTAATAATGAAGACAGGAAGTAATATTGGGGTCATTCCACAATGATAAAAAACTGAACCTGTTGACATTCCATCTTCTTCCTTTGAATCTAGTCACCCTACATAGGATAAGCTGAAACTGAATCCTGACCCCATCCTGTGGGTTGGTGGCATCCAGGTCTGTGAATTGGTTAGATGGTGGTGTTACATCCCTTTTGAAAGAGCAGCTACGTTGCCAGTGGGTGCTTCATGTGAAAGCATTGTTGCTGAATACCCACGTGGTCTTAGCATCAAGAGGAGGTTCCCCCCCCCCAGCTCCAGTTTATTTACCAGCTATGGACATTCTCAGAAAGGGATAGTTTGGACAATGTGACCCATTCACTAGTAATCTCCCAGCTGTATTTCTGTGAAAAGCTTTATGTGTCACTGGAGTCCAAAAGTGATTTACAAAAAAGTAAAATACAAAATTATGTAATAAATTATCCATTAAAGCAATACAAATATACTAATTTTTTTCATCCAAAATCATCGAAGGATATACAGCCCTATTAAACCCAACAATGAACACCAGAAACAACCACTAACCATTAATACTGAGCAAAGGAAAAGAGTAATTAAAAAAAACCTGTCCAGTGCTGAAAAGGAGACAAAGGCAAGCTTCCATGGGAACTGGGGACTACTGCAGAAGAATCCTGTTCCCTCACTGACATCCTGAAAACGCATCTTAGAGAGGACAAGCAGAAATTGGTCTAAGATGCTGATCTCCAGGTTTGGGTAAGTTCATATGGTAAGAGATGGTTCTTGATGTACTGGGCTCTCAAACTCTGCAAGGTCTAAACTAGCTTTTTTAACTGAACTGAGGTGGTGTCAGAAAAAGCTGGTGCAAAAGGTGGCTGCTACACTGCAAGGGGGTTCAAATTCCCAGGATCCTATTGCACCAGTCCTGAAAGACTGCTGCCCTGGGCTCCTTTGGGCAGAAGGGTGCAACAGAAAATGAATAAATAAATGAATATAATTGGACCTTCTGGAGCAGATTTGGAGAAACCACAGGGTGCACACACAGAAACAGGGGAGGGGTGGGAAGTTCCATTGCACAAACTGAAATCCTTGCACTGGTGGAAACATAGTTGAATATATCCGTTAGAAACTCAGGACCTAGATATCTGAAGGATAGTCTCTTCATATATAATTATGCCAGGCCCATATTGACCTGTCCATGCATTAATAAGTTTGTGTTCCTGATTGTCCACAGTCCAGTAGAAATCTGTTATATGGCAAACAAAGAAAGGAGCTGTTATATGATGATGCCCTGATCATGAAACTCCATCCCCCTTGAAATATGACTGTCACTGACACCGATGAATTTTCAGTGCCAGTTCTAAATCCATTTATTCAGCAGATTTTTAGGGGCTATTAATACATTGGCTTGATTTTGATACTGCTTTTACTCACTGCTGGGGTTTTTTTCTGTTCCTGTTATTATGACTTGTTCATGATATAAAACTGAGATTTTTTGTTTCTTCTAATCTACTTCAATGTACCCACCTTGGTACCACTGTAGGATCTAAAATAGTTCAAATAATACAAATAATACAATTTCTGTTGTACAGAATACAAATACAAATAATACAATTTCTGTTGTCAGAACTCTACTTGAGGTCATTTTTTCTCTCTCCCTCTCTCTTGCATGAATCTTAGAGGAATGCAAATTTGATTGTGAGTTTTATCAGCTATTGCCCTAGGTTATCATGTTAATCGAAGGAAGGCTCTGTTGAAAAGAAAGTTGCAGGGTATGCAACATTAATTAGGTATGTTGCATGTATAATACTTCAGGTGCTTGTATTACACTTACTAAAGACAATGAAGATGTAATAAGATATCCAGGCTTTGCTATGGAGGTTGGTTTGTATAATTGTGATATTCGTTGGGTTTGGGCATTATTATGTTTAGATCCAAAATACATATTATTTTAAAGTCTGTCTCACAATTCAAGGAAGCATTTTTACTTAAATTGGACTGAATGCGGGTTGCAAAAGATCAATGATCTTCATCATCAAATAATATTATAGTCCTATGGCTATCTCTCTCATACATCTAACAGCAGCTCGTGTGCATGCATGTCCATATAAAGAGATCTTGCAAATGACACAGGGAGAAAGGGTTAAGCCCTTTGAATAATGCCTAGATTTTAAGGACTGTAAAATATTTGGGGCAGGTCCATCCCACCCATGAGGAAGGGTGAGGCAGCCACTTTGGACACTAGAAGTCCAAGACATGGTACCATCCCCGTCAACTCACCCACCACGCTGCCTCTACGGCCAGCAGAGAAGCGGTGCTAGCAGTAGAGCCAGCATCGGGCAGTATCTCATACGATCTCACTAGGCAGCAACAACTGCAACAAAATCAATTCTTGGACACAGAGGTTTAAACCATGGACCGTTGCCTGGAACAAAGATGGAGAGGAGCAACGTCACATGCATGGCATCAGGCGGAGCCAGAGCGAAGCCAAACAGGGAAACCATGTGGCTTCAATGGTGGGTGACTCCTCCTCTTCCTCCTCCTGGCACCACCACCGATGGGAGGCTGTTTTGGCCCTCCTTCCCCTCCATGGCAGCAGGAGGAGAAAGAGGCAGCCACTGTACCACACTTGGCTCTGTGCTTTGCCTCTGCACTTTTTGGACATGGGTGGGGGAACGGCCCTCACCCAAAAAATATTGATTGGGGCAAAGAGGCTCGGCCTCCAGGAGCTGGTGTCCCTAGTCTGGAAAGAGAAGGGCAAAAGTTAAGTGTGGATAAGCCCTTAGCCTTGGGATTACCCAGCATAAAATGAAAAGGAATGAATGAGGTATAGTGGTTGTGCTTTGCTATGAATATGTTGACTTGTGCTTAATAATTCTTTGCCCTGAAATCACTCTGAACCTTGGAATACTTTCACCTTATCCCAATATTTTATTTCCATTTTGAAATTAGAGAAATGGGTTCTACAATGTCTTTCATATTCTTAACTCCAGTCAGTTTCAATTTCTCTGTCCACACTTATGCATCAATTTGCAATTTTTTAAAAAGCCCTCACAGAAACCATTTTAGTTTGCGTTTATCCCAAGATACACATTTTAGTCTGCAATTTTGCCTGATGCACACAGATTTGCAAGCCATTTCCCCTAATGCAATACACTTCTGTATGCTATTTTCACCATATTCAGTTTAATATACACTTACCCCTAATATATACAGTTTTGTACACATTTTCCACTAGAAAGCTGCATCGCAAAATTAGAAGAGTGAATTTTGAAGGATGACTGTGTTTTGGTTCATGTATTCTTATGAGAGGTGTGGATTAGGTTAGATATGTATTAAAATGCACAATTAACTTAATTTCTTTCCCATCTCTATATGGAATGGTCCATATTTCATCAACTGGGGCGTATGTAAGGCTGGATGATGTAGGTTTCCACAAATCACTTTTTAAGCTTTCATATATATGATCGTGTTAAAGGAGGAGCAAAGGATAGATGCATTCTGAAACAAGAGGTACCAATATCTGTAGCCAAATATTTTTTAATCATTTTACTAGGCACTAATTAACAATCTGAATCATATCCGTTTCAGTTATGCTCCAACTGCAACTACACGAAACTATTGAAATCTAAAGCAAATTAGTTATTCAGTCTTCTGGAATACTCAGCGATGCTAGGATAGTTGTTGCTGTTGTTATTCATAAAATCACCCTGAGCTTTATTTCCTTCTGAATTTGTGATGATGGAAAACCTTAAAAAGATGGGAAGCACTTAAAAGTTCATGAATTTAGAATTTACCAAAGAGAAGATGGTGACCATAAATTCAATCAGGCTCAGATTATTCATTGTTGCTGTGATTTACGCTCGCTGAAGCTCCCAGAACAGCATGTTGTGCCTATCAAGCACACAATATAAAAATGCCTGCCAAAGTATGAAATATCTGCCTTTTTAAAATGCTCAAAATCTTTGCATGCCAATAAATGTATTAGCTGAATATCTACCAGTAAATGCAAAGCAGAATCTGCTCCCGGAACAAGAGGACTCATTTGTTTAGAGGCTTATTAAAAAGAAGCAGCACCAAGCCACTTGGGATTTCTCTCAAGGAGCCCCATTGAAATGTGGGGCTTTGCAAAAGCACATTAGGATTCAGCTCTCATTTGTTTTCATGGGAGACACTCCTTATGGATCATGCCCATTATGTTTAAAAGCAGGACACTTCACGTAAATACCTATTAGTAAATGCAAAGCAAAACTTCCCACAATAATCAAATTTGTTAGGAGGTACATTAAGATGCCCAGTTCATCCAATGGGAATGAGTCACACAGAACTCGGAATGAAATAAGACTTTTACAAAATCATTGCTTTGTTCACCTCTTTTGCCTCCCATTTGTCTCAGTGGCAGTTTTGCGGAAATGTTGCTGGTGGCTTTTGCATTTTTAAAGTATTTAAAAACATGGGGTGTCATGAACCAAATGAGATGTGGGTGTGGGTGAGTGGGTCCCCTTCCCAAAAAATAAGTTTCTGGCACTGACCTGTCTCCAGAGTGTTCCGATTTTAACATACTTCTGCTGCCTGCAGAATGATGTTCAAGGAGAGAAAGGAGGGCTCCCCCCCCCTTTGAATGAAAATTGTTCATGAGCGCTGCTGCTCAGTTGGATTTACTATCCTTCGACACCTGTTACCAGGCACCAAAGAAACTAGTCAGACTGACAGGCCCTATGGAGCATTTCAACTCAAGAATGACAGGACAGAAATGCCTGGAGGACCTCATTTTGAAGAATGAAAGCCTCCTTGGTATAGAGGAGAAAGTGAGCAAGAAAGAAGAGGGGGGAAAATTATGAAGTGGTTAAGAAAGCCGAGGTACAGCTTGTGAAAAAGAGTCATAATTTAAAACAATGCAAGGATAATGCCTGCATGATGGTTAGCTGACGTAAATGAGGCAGTTATTGTATCCTGAGAAGAGAGCAAAAACTGTTCAGTTGACTGAGAAAAAGGAAGAGGAAGCAAGCATTTAAGCAAGAGATAAACTGAGGCTCCTTTCAGAATTTGTTGCCGTGTTAGCCCCACAGAACAAAAGAGTATTATTATTTATTAGTATTTTTAATTGCTTAATATGCTTCTTATACAGTGGTACCTCGGGTTACAGACGCTTCAGGTTACAGACGCCGCTAACCCAGAAATAGTACCTTGGGTTAAGAACTTTGCTTCAGGATGAGAACAGAAATCGCACAGTGGCGGCGCGGTAGCAGCAGGAGGCCCCATTAGCAAAGAAGTACCTCAGGTTAAGGACGGACCTCCAAAACGAATTAAGTTCTTAACCTGAGGTACCACTGTATGCCAAAAAAGAATGCATTTTATTTAAGAAATTTTATAACTTGCTTAATCAGTACACTCCATGGCTGAAATTCTAACTGACAGTTGTTGCCTGGTGGGGCTGAACTAAGTGGAAGGTAGGGGAGGCAGGCAGAACGTTGTGCCAGCCAGGTACAGCAACTGGGCCTACCACACTGTCTCGTGATAACAACTGGGCTGCTTTGGGATCCAGCGGATCAGGTAGTTCTATTAATTTCAATACTAGAACTTATTTGAATACCACCCAGGAAGCACAGGACGTACCAACTTTCCAGGCATTCTGGCCCTTTTGTGTTGCTTCAAGGCTGTAACATGAGAACCGGTGGTATGTTGCCACTGAGAAACAATTTTCTAGCGGCAATCAGGGAAGATGCAGGATGGATGTTGAATTGCTTCCCCTCTTTCTCTGATCCCAGTATACAGGAGTTTATTATCTCTCCCCTCATCTGCCGCTTTCATATTTCTGGCGCTAAAATTGACAGACGTATTACGTGTCGAGGTTCCCAGGGCCACACCAAATAACTCACACATCACACAGAAATTTTGTTTAAGGTTTTTGGCATAATTTTGGCCACAACTTTATTAAAATACAAAAAATGTGAGTGGTTGCTTAGGCATTGGTTGTGTCTATCTGCCCCCCAGTGGGGGACAGACTGACATTCCACAAGCCTGCATAAGTCAGAAAAAGGGAATACATTTGGGGGTAGCGACGGAGCAGGGAACCTGCCCTCAGCCCTCCCCAAATGCAACCAGGGGCTCTTGCGTGGCCCTAGCCCCTTGACAGGGTTCAGACAAAAGCAATGGTGAGCCCCTGTATTCCTTTAACGGAATCCCTTGCAGCAGCAGCATTAGAGGGGCAGGCACAGCCAATCCATGCCCCTCAACCAACCAAACCATAAACCAATGCCGAACCGCAACCTTACAAGTTGTGACGATTTGCTATGCAGTAGGCAAAAACCAAATGGCCCCAGCCAATCAGCCAGATGGACAAAATTCCTACCAGGCCCCTGCCCCAAGAGCAGACGACCCCATGATAGGCATAGCAAGGTCAAAGCAAACAACCCTAAATATAGGGAGGGGAGACGGGCAATCTGATGCACGGGGTGAAAAGAGGAAGCTCTACTCCTCGTGCAGGGAGTTTTAACATTTCTGGCTGTCAATCAACAAATGGCAACATTAACTTCTTCCCAAGAACAAGGGAAGCCCAAACACAACAGTGGCCAACGATCAATTAGCCCACGCCACAACTTTGGAGTGTCCTGTCAGCCCCCACTGCAACACGTGCTCTCCATGAAGGAGAACACGCTTTAGTAGCAGCTGCAAAAGGTAGTTATGCAGATTATTATTCAATTGTCACCCAAATAATTTTGGCAATAAAAGGGCTATGTTTGTGTGACAAAATCCTCCAAACAGAGCTAATGTACACATTAGTGGCTTGAGATACAACAAGGTCATCCTCAACACCCACTGTGTTTCAAGTGGCTTTTGTATGTTTCTGTACACACCAGAGTGGTGGTGAGGATGGCTTCACCTGTTGCACCTTTCCTGATCTGTTTCCCCATACTTCTGAATACCATTTGCTGGAAATCTGGGGAGTAGAGAGTGACCCTGTGCTCAAATTCTGCTTACAGGTTTCCTACTGGCACCAGGTCATGAGAACAGGGTGTTGGGCAAGATGAGCCATTGGCTTGATACAGCAAGACTCATATTATTATGAGAGGAAACACATCAAACTGGAGTGTTTCTTAAAAGCTGCAGTCTGTAAATGAATTTTGGCCAATGTCATGTGTACTTAGCTTCAAATCTCAATGATGGGAGCACCCTGGAGCCCGAGTAAACAGTAATGTGTACACAGTCATTGATGGCACCAATATTCTTTTTTGTAAATTGCTCTTTAGGATGTCTTATTGTGTGTATCAGTCTTTTGCTTCCACTAGAATGCATTGCCAAAGGAAATCAATGTGTCACCCATTATTAGGGCTTTAAAACTATTGTTACTCGGTAACTTAAAACTGCTCTGTGCTTGTAGTTTTATTGGTTTTATGCCAGCTCAGAAAATGGTCCCTCTTAGATATTTTGCAATATTATTACTCTAACTACCAGCTCCTGTAGGTTGGCTTTCTGCCTCACTCCTCATGCCCAAGCAGAAAAGAATTCTTCCATGGTTTCTTGCATTAAAGCATTTTTAAAATACAACCATTTGTTGGATAGTTTTGTTTTTAGTCAGCAACAAAGCACAGTTACAGCCCTTACTTACCATCAACGATCATTTCTAATTATTTAGCATTGTTATCATAAATTCTCATTATATCAATTGACTATTTGAATATGGGACAAGCAACCATACAGCCATGAAGCTACATAAAGGCAAAAATTCAATAGGTAAAGTTTTCTAACATGAAGATAATTTTTTCCTGAAAGTTGAATTTCTGCCGAATTTCCTTGCCATACCAGGGCCAACCAGCAAACAATGCAATTCCACTTTCTCATCACCAGGTAGCAAACACATTAAGAGGAATATACAAGTTGGGATGACTTTGGCTGGGGGGGAAAACTTGATCATCCACATCCACCCACAATCTTATCACTGCATTCATGAGGATCTGATGCACATATGACTATATATAGCATGAAATTGGCTGCAGAAAGGTTTTTATACAAGGAAAGGCTGTATAAAAGTACTCTAAAAAAAAAATTGCAACAACCTAGCTATGAGGTATGAGCAGTAAAATCCTACTGAATTCAATGGTATTTAAGCGTGTGTACATATGCACTTGGATGGTTTAGAAGCTTAGAAAACAGCTCTCCTTCCTGCATTCTTGACTCACCCAAGAGTAATTCAAATCAATCTTGAAACTTCAGTGTAAACAAAGGGCTGCTTAAAGCACATTAGGGATATACTTTCCAAGTGAACACACATTAGGCATGCTTGCATGGTTTGTGTGGTGCTTTCAAGCACCATTCCACACAGATCTGAAGTGAAAGGAGGGATTGCAAGAGAGAGAGAAGTCGTCAAAGGAAATACAAGTTTTGCAGTGATCCTGTCTGACTTCACCACTTGAATCTTCAGCAGTATACAAAGGAAAACAGGCATTCTCCTGTCAAGCTGGAGTGTTAAGAGATCTCCCAGGCACCTTAAAAACAGCACTTCACTAGAGAAGCCCATTTGTTATTAGCCTACCACCAAAGACCCAGCATAACATCCATGGATTTTCCAGGCAGGGATTAACTTCCATTCTGATAAGAGAAACAAACTCCACAGCTAGGCCTCAATATGGAGATTTCCTTCATGATTTTCTTCAATGAAAGTGTTATGTACTGAAGTTCTCACCCTGGGCCAGCAGAGGGATACTGTAGATAGTTCAGGTCCACATATGCAAATAAGGGATCGAAAGTGACGTTCAGTGATTGGATACATACAGAAAATGGTTACAGTTGTGTTGTAGTGGAGCTCTATATAAGCAGGCTGGCTGAACCCTTCAGTTCAGTTCTGTTCTGGCCTGTGAATAAACAAGAGCTGTTTGAAGAATTGCTGTGTCGTCTGATATATTCACCCACAACTTAACAGAAAGTTAGATAGGCAATTGAGTAATCATATTTGTACTGTCTTAAGACAGTCTTCTCAAGTCTGCATTATTTTTCATAACTTACATTATGGATTCATAGTAGTCATGATGTAAGCAGAAGTGTGGTACTATGGTTGGGTGACAGTGATTACCTGACCTCCTGGCTGCAGAGTTGCAACTGTTTACTAAGAGGGACAAGGTGATGTTTGACAAGCACACTGATTGAGCCAGTATGATGCTCCTGCAGATGCATAAGACTAATCCCTGCTGCTGCACACCAAGGAATGCATATGGCACAGCTGCCCATTTGAGATGAAAAGGAATAAAAGAATCTACCTTATACCAAGTCAGACCATTGGTCTGTCTAGCTCAGTATGGTCTACACTTACTGGCAGCAGGACAGCAGGGATTCAGGCTAGGGTCTCACCTGGTCTTACCTGGAAATGATGGAGATTGAACCTGGGACCTTCTGCATATAAAGCAGAAGTTGTACCACTGAGCTATGGACCTTGCTTTGGCCCATTCCCCAAGAAAGGCTGGTTGGGATTAGGGCCTCCTGAACATTGTCTCTGACAGTAATGCCAGCCTAGCCAGAGCAATCTGCCAGCCTCAAGAAGGATCATCCAGGTTCCTGGGTGTTCCTGTAAAACAGTTTGTTTCTATGCTCATGCCACTAGAACTCTGTATACATGGACATGGCATCACATATATTACTTTCTCCACATAGTTAAATCTCTGCAGCTACCAGGGCTGCTCTTTGTACAACAATTTACAAAAGTCTCTGGACTAGTAGATCACACAGTGCACCTGCTGCTGCTACCCACTTTTAGGAGATACTCAAAACTCATGTCTGAACACCTTTCAGAGAAA